CCTTTACCTCCTTCTCATTCACACACATCATCCCTCTTACCCCCCATTCATCTTCTCAACTTCCCTACCCTGTATAATAAGTGCCTCCTAAAGACTCCTTTCTCCACTATCAAACACTACTGTCTGCCCTGCTCCTGTTACCTTTACATAATCTTGTCTTCTCTGCTTCCCATGAGTCAAACCACAATCCCCAGCATATCTCTACCTCGATCCAGTTACCTCTATGGCCCACATCACCTCTTCCCATTTGCCAAACTCTACTGTTATCCCATTCCCTACAAGTATCTAGTCCTAACCTGCTAGCTGCATGGCTCAACTATTATATCTCCACTCCAGACTAGCACTTAATCCAGCCCTCTGAGTATAAAAGGAAGACTGTTAAACACTCTTCAGAGCAAAAACTTTTAAGCTCCACTTTTGATAGCAGACCTCACCCCTGCAACCACAGTATATTTTTTTCAATTTATTGTCAACATCTAAATATTTTCCTTACTCGAATGTAACTTTAAAAGGTGAAATTATTTTTTCAGGAAACATCAGATTGTTAATTTTAAAAAAGTTTGATTTGACTCTTTATATAATTCAAATCACTGTGAGTGTTACTGTCTCACAATGAGAATGATCTTCCATTTATATAGTGCTTTTTTTGTCCCAAAAGGAATCCAAAGCACTTTACAGACAATCTTTACACTGTGATCCCTTCAAATAACATACAACTGATATTTATCCACCTCCCTCTTGAAATTCATCAATGATTTAACAGCACTCAGCAACACTACACAAGATTTTAGACCAGTACGTGAAGAAGAAAATACTTTCCAAGTGAAATTGCAGGGAGAATTTAGGTAGGTGGGATGTAATTGCTTCCTGGGTCAATATTTCATTAAGGACACTTAATTTAATAACTCTGCTCTTAAGAAAAGCACTGTGGAATCTTTAAAGGTACCAAGGGACCTGCGCCTAAGTTTTGTACCTCCTCTGAAAGACAGTTTTCTTAATACTACAAAAAGAACAGGAGTACTTGTGACACCTTAGAGACTAACAAATTTGAGCATAAATTTTCGTGGGCTACAGCCCACTACATCAGATGCTGTAGCCCACGAAAGCTTATGCTCAAATAAATTTGTTAGTCTCTAAGGTGCCACAAGTACTCCTGTTCTTTTTGTGGATACAGACTAACACAGCTGCTACTCTGAAACGTAATACTACAGTAAATTCTAATCCCATGTTTGGACATTGTTCATTATTGACCACAAGTTTATTTGTCTGTAATGAGCTATGCATACGTAAAGAACTGAATATGTGATAAAAACACTGACATAGAGGGACAAGTGCCATCTCCTGATACAAATACTTCAAGTAGCTTCCTGGGTTTCCCTAATGGCTATCCAGTACCAACACAGTCAAATCCTTCTTAGTGTATGTGATTTCTCAGGATAGCTTGGAAAGTGGCATGGAAACAGCCACCTAAATGAGGGAAATTCTATATTCTGAAGATATATCTATTTTTTAAAATAGGCAAATATGACCAAGTGCTATACTTCAGCCTAACAGTATAAGACTGATACTATAACCACCATTAAAATGATGAAGGATATGTCTGTCCATCTTAGGTATTTATGAGGTGGCATTCATATTGGTATCTAGTACTTTAGTATATGTTATTTATTTTTGCTCCTAATATCTCATACTAGAGTGAATTAATACTACAGTACTTACTCATAGACTCATAGACTTTAAGGTCAGAAGGGACCATTATGGTCATCTAGTCTGACCTCCCGCATGATGCAGGCCACAAAAGCTGACCCACCCAATTTCCCTTATCTCAGCTGTTGAAGTCTCCAGATCGTGATTTAAAGACTTCAAGTCGCAGAGAATCCTCCAGCTTGCGACCCCTGCCCTATGCTGCGGAGGAAGGCAAAAAACCTCCAGGGCCTCTGCCAATCTACCCTGGAGGAAAATTCCTTCCCGACCCCAAATATGGCGATCAGTAGAACCCCGAGCATACAGGCAAGATTCTCCAGCCGGACCCACATTTTACCAGCGATGGCAAGTTATTGCCTAATTGACTAAAATCACGTTATCCCATCAAATCATTCCCTCCATAAACTTATCTAGCCTAATCTTGAAGCCAGAGAGGTCATATTTGATAGGTGCTTTAACACTTGAAGAGTTGCTCTAACTCTCCAAAATTTTTTAAAATACTCTAAGAATTATCCCTTAGAGAGATTCATACATGTGCAATTCGTTCCCTTTTAAAACTTGCTTCTTTACCTATTCACTTTCCATTCTGGCACTTCCCTAGTAGCAAGAATTCAAATGTCCAAGGAGCCACTGGAAGGGTAGAGCAAGAGAAGGATCTAGAAAACAATGAGGGGGCTCCTGCAGTGAAGGATGGGGAGGGACTCTATATAGGTGGAACAGAGAGATGCTGGAGGCCAGGATGATTAAGAAGAAGGGGGAAAAAGGTGAGTTGAAGACAGCATCAGCCATTTCTGCACACTCTGCTCCCCAAGGTCCTGCACACTGACCTTTCCGTGAAGAACTCAATTAAAACAGTATTAAAAATAAAATCGAAGATTTCACAAAGCTCCAAAGCTGGACAGTATCTATGCACAAAAAATCCTCTTGCATAGCTCTCCTACCCTTTTTATTATTATTTTAATTATATGACTTTCCTCAAAGTCATTTTTATTTTATGGAAGAGGGGAAGGTACCGTGGGGCTGCACTTGTGAAGGTATTACAGGCAGAGAAAATTGATGCATTTTTGCTGAAACAGATTAATAGACATTTCCCTTTCTTGTTAGGTGTCATTGCAATTTAATTATTTATTTGTTACTTTACAGACCAGTTGGGAATAGATTTAGTACACTTAGCTTCATCTTGCAGAAGCCAGTCATCCCGATAAATCAAGCAGGAGATGGCCTTAATCAATATCACTCTACAATGTGAAATGCTTTTAGCGTTGCTCAGTTGGTAACTCTTTTGCCTCTAGATCATAACATGAGTTCAAAGCTAGATGTGTTCACTGATAAAGATGTTGGGCCAGATTCAGACTGAGTGCAAAGAGGTACAACTCTACTGACATCATTCAATCACACAAGGTTAGAATTTGGCCCACCATTTTTAATGCAATACATTGTGCCAGACACAGCCTTCCTCTCCATCTCTTTTTAAAAGTCCAGTCTGAAGTGAAAGATTTCATAGCACTCTTCAAAATGAGAAGGAGATAACTCCAGTGTTCAGGCCAACAATTACTTGCCTTGATAAATTATGTTCCAATATCCATACCGTGAGTGAACTCACTGCATAATGGTTGCTCTTTTTCTGTACCCAGTGATGGGAATAACAGCATTTATCTCATTTACTTTGTGAAACACTCAAGGATACCTGGAGCATTCAACGCATTACAGGCTGTAAAGCTTTTTTATTCTCTTCAAATCCCTTTATTATATATTATAGTCAATGATTTTTTTTCGAAGTAAGAGACACCCAGCCATATAGGGTATGTCTACATTTGAGGTGGGTGGGTGTGCTTCCCAGCTCATATAGACTTACCTATGCTAGCTCTGCAGCATAGATAGGTAACAGGGGTGGTGTCCAGGCTAGCTCCCTGTATATGTGGTGGGGCTGAGTCTATATGTACTCAGGCAGCCAGCTCAAGCCACTGCCCATGCAACCCCAGCTACACTGTTATTCTTAGTGCACTAATTCGAGCCAAACTAGCATAGATAAGTCTATCTGAGTGGAGAACCACACGTCCCAACTCAAATGTGGATTACAGATAGAAATACTGTGATATAGTAAATACTATAGGCCAGACTATGGGAATTGCACATAGCCAGGACTCAGGAGTATTGCACACCAAGGAAGCAGAGGGAAACATTTTCCCTTGGGAACTCCCCAGTATACACAGATCATGCACACTCCTATACTCTAATTGTGCACAGCACAATCTTCTGCCCTCCCTCCCAATCCCTTTCCGTGCACTATTGATAGCAACCTGAAGATGTATTGCTTTAATACACAGCTATTCTTTATCGCTATGGATTTAAGGAATACCCATGCAATGAGTAACCTTTACTCACACAAGCAGTCCAGACTTCAATAGTTTCATTATTACTCAAGGGAGTAAAGGTTTGCATGACAGAGCCATTCAGAAACAAGACATTAGATATTAGAAATGGCACTTAGATAATAAGGAGCTAGTATAATAGAAATACCTAAGTTAGATATAACCTTGCTGGCCAATAAGTGAATAGAGATCCACTCACTTATGTTTTATTGTGCTGACACTGACTTTAACAGTGAGGTCAACCTACATATTCAATTTTATGCTTGCACTTTCATATTCCTTGTTAAAAGGGTTTATAATAAATTGTTAAAATTTATAATGACTTAAATAATAGTGGCAATGTTCAATGGCATATCCAGTTAATTCAGCTGTAGTCCTACAGTTACAAATTATGTCCATGGTGTTTAACCAGGTTTTAAATACTGGCAATTTATAAAATATCTGTGTTACTGTGAAACTTAATAACTGCATAAAATGAAGTGGTTTATAACAAAAAATGTCACGCACTGAAAGGTATACACCTAGCTAAATTATTGCATGTTATACTCTGAACTCTGAGCTTGGTGTGGTTGGCTATTTCCTGTGAAGGATATGTTTTTTTAAACCCCTACATTTACACATAACATTTACATATGTTTATACCATTAAAGGAGATATGAAATCTCCTTAACTACATAATTATATTAATTATATTAAACATAAAAACCCACATAAGTTAAACCTCACAATGTACACATTGTAAACAGTAAACAACTCAATTTCTATTTAAAGAAAAACAATGCAACTTCTATATTATGTAGTTGATACTGCAATAAGTGGCCTAATTAAGATTTTGTAGAAGATGATAAACCTTGTTTATATAACGTTATAATCAATGAAAGCAAGACCTAATTTCAACTTCAGAAAAATCACTGTACACCTTACCGTTGACAATAACTGTGATATCCCGAAAGTCGATTTCTCCTCTAGCTTCAACTCTTCCTTCACATCTATATATTCCTTCATCACTTTTATTGATATTAAGAATTTGGAGATTGTTGTTTGATAACATCGCAAATCGATCTAGAAAGCCATGTAAGGAATAAAGTGATATCAGTAAATTAAGACAATGTTGGGAATATTAATTTAAATTATTAAGATTAATGAACTTCTCTAATGAGATCAAATAGCTCATCAACAAAACACTTTCAATTTAAAATTAAAATGTAATATAAGTTAAGTTATTTCACCCCAAAAACACATTGGTTTATCTTTTGTTTAAATTCAGTTAGGGTTTTTTTCTATATAAAATGGAAATGCAGATGTTTTTCTGTACATTTTTATTCCTGACTTGTCACTGCAGTGCCAATAGAAGCATAATATACATACAGTACGTTCAAACAAATATTAAATGCTGTGCTATATTTTTTAAATAAGATATATTACATGCATCCTCCCTCAGACCCTATTCAGTTCTTGTCAAGGACCAACTACCCTGAGAACCTTGCTTTTCCAAATTAAAGTTAATGGGTGAAATCTTGGCTCTATTTAAATCAATGATAAAACTCACACTGGCTTCAATATGGCTAGGATTTCACCCAATATGACATCATTTATGTCCCAATTCTGTAACTCATTTTGTGCAGCCAGACCTCACAGAACCTTACTGACTTCAATAGGTGTCTACCAATATGAAACAAGTTGCAGGACTGGGATCTTATTGCAGATGATATTGTGATAACATCGTGAAAAAATGTGCAACTTCTATTTTTCCTGTTGCCAAAAACAAAATATTGTAATAGGTTAGCCCAGAAGTAGACTCCTTAGCTCATTTAATGTCTTTTGTAAAACTAAGAATCTGACTCAAATTATTACAAAGTGAATGAGATGCTTATTTACCTTGACTGGTAAAAGGATTAGAGAAACATAGAAACGTCACACATCAGACCTTACAATTGTACAGATGGAACTAGATAATGTTCTTTTATGTACTAGTTGTCTCTGTTCTTACTGAACAACTGTTCTTATTCCTGTTTGTACAGGATCTTTCAGTTTCAGTCAAAAATTAAATATAAACTATTTTTCTTACATATTATGACCCCTGATCATGTGTCTCACTGTGAGCTTGGCATTTCAAGATGCTGAGTATACCAACCCTAATCCAGCAAAGCACTTAAGCACATGTTGAACTTTAAGCAAGTAGTTAAGTCTCATTGACTTCCAAGTTACATAGCTTAAGTGCTTTGCTGAATCGGGCCTAAGCATGCACTTAAGTGTTTTCTTGGATCAGAGTCAGCACGCTTAGCACCCTGCAGATAGAAAAGGCAGATGGATTTAATTTTTCAAGCCCCTCAGTCTAAATCAGCCATTATCAGCTCATGCCTTTTGAGAGACATTTTGCTCCTTAGATCACTATATGTGGTTCTTGTGCTATTTGTATACATGTGCCTCAACTCAGCAAACACTTAACCAGGTGTTTAAATTTAAGCATGTGCTTAAGGGATTTGCTGAACTGGGGTCCTGGTGCTCCACTCCCTTTGTCAAGATCATGAAGACAGACACTGGCCATTAAGATCTAATCACTGATTTTCAAATCAATAAGAGTCACAATCCAAAACACCTAGAAGTAAAACCCATTTCCTGGTGTGATCCTCTGACAGTCACACTTCAAAATGTTCTCTCTTTCAAAACGTGTGGGGGGTGTCATTTCTCTCTCTTTAAACTTCTGATAGCTTTTGTTGTTGTTGTTGTTGTTGAAACTAAATTCTTAGATCATAAAAAAATGTACATTTTCAAACATTTGGAAAATGCTGTTTAGAGCATTAATTTAATACAAGAAAAGCTTCATCCCTGCTGGCTGGATGTTCTGTCAACCACCAGGCCTTTTCAGCTAAGGAGGCTATTTCGAGTTCATCAAAGAAAATGAAATGAAAATGAACTCTAATGTTGGGTGACTGCAGAACACCATAAACACCCTAATCTTGTCATGGGATATACTGGGGAAATGTGTGTATAAAAACAGGAGAAATTCTTATGATTAAATTAGGTTGATCAGATGAACCAAGATGTTTCTACATCCCATACTACCTAGCATTTAGGCAGACAGATTAATACACAGCACACACAATACCTATCGGAAAGTTGAAAAAGAGTGGAAAGTGAATTGAACTGATTTCTCAGAGAAGCCACACACAACTCTGTATGACTTATCCACTGATAGAGCTGGAAGGAGTTACTGCCTTTCAAGACATAATACCAAATATTTTAAAGAATTGTTTCTACCTTGCATAGTAATTATGTAAAGTCAGACTGAAACAGCAAACTCACCTGAACCTTTGCAGTCATGCATTAAGCCTGGATAATGTGATTCACATAAAAGTATGCTCAGAGCAAAGTTGAGAGCATCCAACCTCTCTAGCGGACTCCATGTTTATACTAGTAGTATTTTATGATATATCCATAGATACACCGATATATAAACTGCATGCTTTTGTAAGGGGATCACAGTCAATGGATGTGGGCAGTTAACAGCCACCAGACACTGCCAGCTCATCACACATAGTCAACAACGTTCACCATAGCCTAAGACACTAAGGGTATGTCTATACTGCAATTAAAAACCTGATGCTGCCCCAGGACAGCTGACTTCGGCTAGGTATTCACTACCCGCCTGAATCGGCGGGTAGAAATCGATCTCTCGGGGATCGAATTATCGCGTCTCGTCGGGACGCGACAATCGATCCCCGAATCGACACGCTTACTCCACCAGTGGAGGTAGGAGTAAGCACCGTCGACGGGGAGCCGCGGAGGTCGATTTTGCCGCCGTCCTCACAGCGGGGTAAGTCAGCTCCGATACGTCGAATTCAGCTACGCTATTCGTGTAGCTGAATTTGCGTATCTTAAATCGACCCCCCCCCTGTAGTGAAGACCTGCCCTTCAGCTCACAGGGCTCAGGCTAATGGGCTATAAAAGTGCACTATAGATGTTCGGACTCAGGCTGGAGCCTGGGCTCTCAGACTCTCCCCACTCACAAGATCCCAGAACCCAAAGTCTAGCCTGAGCCCAAATGTCTACATTGTAATTTTATAGCCCCACAGCCTAATCCCCTTGTGCCTGAGTCAGCTGACCTGGGGCAGCCATAGGTCTTTTACTGCAATGTAGACATACCCAAAGTAGGATGTGAACACCCATAGCTAATCGGTAGATAAGCATGAGGCCCACACAAAAATGTGCTGGAGACCTAGCAAGGCACCCCCACCAAAGACTTGCTGAGGACAAAATGCTGGAAGTACTTGAAACCATTAAGGCTTCCACCCGTTCTGCCACTGATGCAGCTGAAATAATGATAGTATGAGTGTTTTATGGTTCCACTGCCCCCCTAAAATTTACTTTTAGAGGCAGGGCCTAAAAGCCGCAGCCAGTCCTGGGTACAGTAGTTTTCCAAAGAAAGGGTGAAATTCACTTCTGTGATGGCAGCCAACACAAGCTATATGCACCACTAAACTCCCACTGACAAGGACTTATGCAGGCTCTCTGTATCAGGATGAATTTCACCCAGAGTGCACCATTCTCCTTCGCATAGCTGCACAGTGTGTGTAAACTCTTGATTTAAAGCAGAAAAATATGCAAAACCATCCTGGTTTTGTGTTCAGCTTGTTTCCAGGAAGCAGCGATGGCTTTCATAAATGTTGTTTCTTCAAGCTATCAGCAGAAGCTTTTTATAACCTCAACTCTCCTCTCCGGTTATTGGTTCACTTTATGGCGTTCATAATGTAATTCGAGCCAAAATCACGGAGATAGGTCATCGGTGCAAATCACATGGCATTTCTTCAGTGCCTCTAAATTGGTTGAGCCTATCCAATATGATCAGTCCAATAGGGTCAGCCCAGTTCAATAAAAGTCTGTTTCATTTGTAATCTCAGATTGAGAGACGCTGTAGTTTGTTTAAGCTTTTTGATAAAAAAATAAAAGTCATCATAATCTATCTTGAAATGTCAGGGAGAAAACCCTAGAAGGCAGAGTCCTAGCATACTTGTAATTCCACTGTTATTGGAAATTTGTCCTTATATTTTATATATTGGCTCCCATATTTATATCTAGATTTCTGATTGGGAAAATCTCTTGAAATCAAAGTTGTCTTGTTGTATCAGGCCTAGTCCCTTAGAATACGTTCCTGGAGCAGGCCCTTATATTTCTCCTGTAATTGCCCTGTTATTAGGCATTATTTTATATTTTGGCTCATGTATCATGTTTTAAAAGGAGGAGAAGTTTTCCTCTCTGAAATAAGAGTTCTGTTGTAACATCAGGACACAGGCCTACTTCCTGTTTCATGTTTTGTGAAGCAGTGATCCCATATGAAGAAATATGAATTTGAGGACCTGAAAAGCCATACAAACCAGTTTCCACCAAAAATCCTGCAAGCTCTTTTTGAACTGAACTTGGAATGGTTTGCACACCTGTAATTCTAACAGTCTGCAGAATGTAGGATGACCAGATGTCTTGATTTTATAGGGACAGTCCCGATATTCAGGTCTTTTTCTTATATGGGCACCTATTACCCCCTACACTTTGTCCCAATTTTTCATACTTGCTGTCTGGTCACCCTAGCAGAATCCCTTACAGACCTAAAATGTGATGGTGTTGAAGAGAGTCACACTCCATATCAGAAACCCCCCCCCCGAAAGGAACCAGATAAAAAGAGAAATATATATAATATAATATCACAACATAATACATGACAGGGGTGAAGGATACACCAGTCTTCAGCACAATATCTCTGCAATCAGCTATGATGTAGACCAAAACAACATTTACATACAGTATTCCTGAACCTTACAACAGTACTATATCCAGCAAGTTGTAACTGCATGTACGACAAACCTTTGCAATTTGAGCACTGGACTAGTGAATAGAAAAGTTTGCTGCAGGTGATGTTCAGACTAGCCCTCGGTAGCTAGTTCCTCTTGTGGCTGACTCCAATCAGTCCCAGAGACCTGAATGTCTCCATATAACCTTGCTGTATTTGTGATAGGCACTATGGTGTGGGCAGTGTGTTTAATTCCTTATGCAGCAATACTGCTGTGCAAAAATAAAGAGTAAATCACTGACTTGGTGAATAGAACAAGGTTCGATCTATAAAAAAAAAAAAAGTTGCAGGCCACCTTCATCTCTAGTACCAGCCCCTTGCTGCCTGCACAATGGGATTGTGACAATTAAACTTTTGAGGCTGACATTACAGGAACTCTACAGAACATTCTCAGAGAGTTCTACATTCCATTGAGCTATTGAGCTCTTACATCCAACTTTAAAGATACAACATCAAGTCAAGATAGAATCTTTTAACAGAGTGTGGGCTCTTTCCTGAGGCCATGGTCTCCCCAGTCATTGTATTTAATTTCCCTGGTCAAAGGATGATGGACAGCTGACCCCTCTGTCCCTCTTTCCCTCCCCTCATAGATGAACAGGAGGAGGACTATAGGACTCGGGACTGAACAGATGTCTAGGAGTTTGGCTCTGGGGGAAGAAGTAAAGCTACTTTAGAATTAGGAGTTGCCATTCCCAGTCAGTTCTATACTTCCCTGTGGAACAATTCTTTAAATGTTCACTTCTGATTCCGTGAACAAACTTCCTTTCTGGTGAGCAGATAGCTCTGTGTGGATAGCACATACAAGCATTAGGAACTGCCAAGCCTTTGTACAGCCTGAATAGTCATAGTTAATTGTGCTAAGTCATATCCTAGAGGTTTATTCACTTTGCCACATATAGCAGAAATATTTTCACGTTATAACTAAAAAGCCAATCACTGTGTATCTCTCCACAATGCAGGTGCTAAAAAAGGTTTTAAATGGAAGCTGCTTCCCAATGCACAATAAAAAGTTACATAATATAACTGGAAATTATCCTTTCAACTGCAGATGTCAAATTATTTTACATTTTAAGCTTTCTATGACCAAAAAATGAAGAAGACAAATATGCATTATTTTAATTATCTCTATAATAAACTCATCTTTTAGTATACGTAACATTTAATGAATTTAAGTATTATGTACTATAGGAATAATGATCAATTGGTTACTAGCGAATAATCTCTTCTCCACCATCCAAGGTGGTATGTCCAGGTGATACTGTGAACACTCACGCAGCTCAAACTCTTCTAGTTATATACTATTTAAAGCACCAATTTCAACAGCAGGAGCTGCTATCTTTGGTCCATGCAGAATCCCCTTGTATTTTAATGGGGATTTGTATGGGCATAGCAGTCTGTGCTAGGAGATCCCAATGCAAGATCAGGGGATAAAAAAAAATGTTTTTTTTGTTGGTTTTTTAAAATCTGTTTTTCAACTATATACCGTTTAAAATCCGAACACTTTGTATCTATCTGGCTCAAACAGCTAAACTGCTTTATGTCCTGTCACATCTTAAAAGAAAATGAAACAAACTCAAAATTACATAATGAAATGCAGCATGGCACACTGGAAATATTTCAGAAACTCAGATTAATTTGAAATGCATGATCTTAAGAAAAAAATTCTCAAGATTTTCTTTTTATGATTAAGTCTTCTAAAACAGGGTTGATTGGAACAACAGAAGTGCAAAAACAAATTAAATTAACAAACTGTAGCATATCCCTGATCTTTTGGAGAAAATCTCACATTTGTAGACTTTAAACTGTAACCTTGAGCAAATGCTGCTTGCTTAATTGTTCAGCTACTGTTTAGTTCCAAAATCCTGTAACCCTTACCTTCTTTTACAATTGAAACATATATAAAAGTTGCATATCTCTTCTACAGGTAACTCTTTCACCATGAATTCTGCACATGTGACTATGTGGGTAATGACAGAGATTAAACACAATATGTAAGTAGCAAATCCAATTAAAACTCTGCCTGGCTTTTGTACCATGGAGGTTCACACAAGAATCTGAAAGCACCCAAATAAGTGATTTTTCAGCTTTACAATAAGAAGCCTAATAGGTTTATTAAATCCTCTTTTCTTTGGCTGTAATCATTCCTTAGTGACGCTACAGTTCCATACTTTCACGCCACTAAATAAACTTTAATTTAATTTTGAATTAAAAATATGAAAAAAAAAACATATATTAATGACCAGCATGAGGGATGTACAAACTCAACCTTGCATTTTAATACATTTCGTGCCAAAGCTGTGGGAGAATAAGCAGGTAGCCCTCCAAAGAGCTTTTCTGTGCATTTTGAGGTACATAATTATTTTGTTGCCCCACAAAGGCAGAAAAAGTAGTATTGGGGCAGTCAACTGCTTCCTAAAGACATCACAGGTGTGTGTAGTGGACACTGAAAGCCACTAGTACACCACATCCCATGAGAACAACAGGTATGGGGGAGAGAAGATGATCCAGGGTTTATGGTTTGGATTGAAAATCATACACAACTCTATAGACCCAGCTGTACAATCCTTAAACATGTTGGTGAGAACTCACTCACTCAAGTACCTCTATTGGCTTCCGTGGGACTACTCATGTGAGTAACTGCTTACAAATGGGCTAACAGTCCTTGGCTGAACTTTGCTTTGAGATTATTGGGTTAATATGAAACCAAAATGAAATTGAAGGTACATCCTTTAATAAGATATCTACTATCTAGTCTTGATTTAAAGCTTCAAGTGATGGAGAATCCACCACATCCATAGGTAAAATTAAAGTTTACGTTTAGGAACTACTCACTGCTATCCTACATTGCAGTTTTGATATATCTTCTTTTAAAATAATATTTTAATCTACAAATAGAACATATAACTTAAAGAGTTACCAAAATACTAACTGTCAGCAATAGTTGTGACTTCCTCATTTCGATACAACCAGCTGACAACAGGTGCAGGTGAACTAGTAACATGGCAAACCACTTCAGCATCTTCTGCTTGTCTGAATTCTTGTGGGGTTATTATGTCTCGGAAAGTGAGCTTCTCTAAAAAGAAAGAAAACTGAATTTAACAAGGTTTTCCCGTTTTCTTTAGCTGTCCAAGTTACATGCACAGTTACTCTGAACACAGCATCAAATCATAGAAAATTAGAGGTATGAAAGATAGTTTGTTTTTTCGGTGAGTGCAGTAGAGGACTGTTTCCAGTGTATTTTCTATAGCTTTGGCCATTCTAGGCATAAATGTTCCTGGTAATGAGAATTCCACTATTTCCCTTGAGAAATGACTGCATAATATCATAGAATCATAGAAAAGTAGGGCTGGAAGGGAGCTCAAGGGACCTCAAGAGGTTATCTAGTCCATTCCACCACTACTCCCTGTTAGGCAGCACCAAGTAAGATCATCCCTTACTGGTGTTTGTCCAACCTTTTCTTTAAAACCACCTCCCTTGATAACCAATTCCAGTACTGAACTATCCTTACAGTTAGAAAGATTATCCTAATATCTAACCTAAATCTCCCTTGCTGCAAACTAAGCCCATTACTACTTCTCCTACCTTCTGTGGACTTGAAGAACAATTGGTTACCATCCCTTTTACAACAGCCCTTAACATATTTGAAGACTTATCAGACATATCAGGTCCCCCAACAGTGTTCTTTTCCCAGGTTTGTTAACCCTTCCTCACAGGCCAGGTTTTCTAACCCCCCTTTAAAAATGTTTTTTGTTCTCCTGTAGACTTTTCTCCAATTTGTCCCCTTTTTCCTTAAAGCATGGTGTCCAAAATTGGACATAATAGTCCAGCTGAGGCCCCACCAGAGCTGAGTAGAGTGGTATAATTATCTCCCTTGTGTTAAGTATAACACTCTTGTTAATATATCATAGAATGATATTAGCTTTTTTTTTTTTTGCAAATGCATCGTATTGTTGGCTCATAGTTATATATACTGCCTAGCTAGTTATACCCCAGTTTCTATTTGTGCATTTGATTTCTCCTTCCTCAGTGTAGTGTTTTGCACTTGTCTTTATTGAATTTCATCTTGTTAATTTCAGACCGATTCTCCAATTAATCAAGATCATTTTGAATTCTAACCCTGTCCTCCAAAGTACTTGCAATCCCTTCCATCTTGGTGTCATCCAGAAATTTTATATGCACACTGTCCACTCCATTATCCACGTCATTAATTAAAATATTGATTAGTGTCAGACACATAGGGGGCCCCACTAGATATGCCCTCCCAGTTTGATAGCAACCCATTAATACCTAGTCTTTGAGTATGCTATTTCAACCAGTTATGCATCCACCTTATAGTAATTTAATCTAGACCACATGTCCCTAGTTCATTTATGAGAATGTCACGTGGGACAGTGTCATAAGAGTCTTTGAAGTAATCTCTTCAGTTTGAATATACAAAATAATTTCTTACTTTCTTCTTGCTTTCAACATTTTTGAGCCCAACTGTGGAACTCTTACTCATATTGTGAGCATTAATTACTCCAGTGAGTAGCCCTATTGACTCCATTATTTGGTGTTTTTCTTCAAGTCCCGGCTGCTGAAGGCAAGTGATTGTGAGAATTTCAGTTTTCATGGGGGAGGAGTAGTGTGGGGAGGACTTTCTAGCTATCATGGTTGTGGAGAAAAGCCTGACATCATCAACTGGCTCAAAACCCAAAAGGCAAATAATAAGAAACCCAATTATTTTTAAATCATGTGATTTTTAGCCAATATGACCATTTTCTGGAGGTCTGATTTTTGAATGCTAGGGGTTGGTAATACCATAAGTAAGTATTCAGTTTTGTGAGTAAGGGTTGCATAATTTTAGCTGTTATTGCAAAATAGTTCAACAGCTACACTGTGGCTTTTACTCCACAACCTTCTTTAGGCACCACTGTGGAATTGTACAGACCTAAGAAGAGCTCTGGAGGAACTGCTTCTCAGTGACACATCCTCTCTCTATTCAACTCACTGCATATGGGTAGTGCATAAACATGTGCCTCCTTTAGTCAGAGCAGATTGCTTTGCTTTCCTCCAGTCCATCAACTCCAGTTCATGGCTGCCATAAAAGATAAGGAGAAGGCATCCCTACATTTCTGCCCCCTATCTCTCCCTATTCCCTTTTCAGAGATGTGAGAGCTGGAGTAAACAGTTCATGTGCTACCCAGAGCATAGACTGCTATCACCGCTTGTGAAGATGATACTAACAAACTGATCCAATATCCATTGAAATCAATGGAAAAACTCCCATTGACATCAATGAGCTTAGGTTCAGACCCAAAAGGAAATCATCTTGCTGATCCTCTGCAACATATCATCTAGCCCTAAATGTGCTAGCTTTCAGGCAAAATTTCTGTCAAACTTCACACCTTGTGTCTGGCTTTCTATGTTTTTTGTTTTTTTTTTTGCTCCATCCTGAGAACAATTTTTTGTAAAGAACTACTATGTCTCTTCCTGACAGATTTCAAAGGATTTCTATCTTGCACAGTAGTCAACCTGTATAGTGACTGGCAGCTTTAAGCATAAAAATGATGACTTACAGAATACGAAATCCTTTCTTTGAACTACCAACTTTGCAACCATCATGTAATTGCTTGTAACTGTCATCATCAGCCTGAATGGTGGTTTTATCAATTACATTTATTTTTAAAATTATCTATCATTTGATATCTGCTGTACCTTTAAAGATGCAGTACTTTATTATTTTCTTTTGCATTTACCTGTCATATTTCAGTTCATAAGTCTTGGCCTGACCATGAACCATATCCTGTCATGAATATTTAAGAAAAAGTCACCATTCAAATCAATAAGGAATTCTGCTTAAATACTAATGGCACAATATGGCTCCTCTTTTTGGTTTTGTGTTAGCCTTAAGCCTCTTCTGTATAATGCATTTTGCATATTATATTTTTCTAACTGATGTAAAGAATTCAGTTCAATATTCTGTACTTTTTAAAGTGATGTCAATTACAACTTGACAAAGTTTCTGTAGGATGCTTTTACATATTCATTTTGCATAACGCAGTATATTTACATTTGAAGAAATAATCCTCCATTAATTGTTTAACTCAATTTTAAAAATAATAGTACTTTGGTGGCTTATAAAGATTTATATCTCATCACATATAGGATTTTATGTCATATAAGTCCCTTATGCAGCCAAGAACAGGAAAAGATTAACATAAAAGCCATTGCAAACTGGTTTAAATGTATATGTTGTGTCTCTTGCATTCCAAATCAATGCACAATTTGACTATTGTAAGAGGATTTATTTTGGTGCATATCTCTCTCTCTCAGAAACACATTTTGTCCTTTTCATAAGAGAGGTATATATGGTGCATACTGATGATAAGTGATGCTATACCATACTGGATTAATGTACTCTGGATATCAATTCCATTCAAGTCTTTTTCACAGTAGATATGCTTGACTGCAACAGATACAATCTATTGCTCCTAAAATGAGATTTATAGAGAAGGGGTATATATTTATTTAATGTTAATTTTCCGTATAGCAAATGGAATTCAAAATAGATCCTCTTTTTTATGGTTAGTTTTTCCTTTATGTTTCACTTACGATAAATTTCCAAAACAACAGTAGCTTCTTGAGTATGTCCTTTTGCATCAGTTGCTTGACATCGATATATCCCAGCATCTTCTACATTTGCATTGTAAATAGTTAGCCGTGATCTAACACCTTCTTTTTGAATGACCACTCTTTGACTAGATGCAATCTTCTCTCCTTGTGGATTGTACCAGTCTATACTGTCTGGCTCACCAATCGCTACAAAAAGCAATGTTAAAAGAAAAGTTCAGCTAGACCCCCCTAAGTAACATTCAGATGAGTTCTTTCTTTGCAATATCCAGCTTGCCTTGTCTGTAGGAGGAACACAAGTTATAAGAAAGACAAAAGAGAAGCCAGCAAGTATGATGGCCATAATTTAACTATTTTGAGATATTAATAAGAATTAGGAAAATGTTTATATATCCAGCTGAGCCAGATATCACCAAAATGTCCACATTGTCCAGTAATTATTTGGGACATCTGTGGGTATTTTAGAAAAATTGATTTCGATCAAACCTTTGCCCAAAATCCAAACAACCTTTTTACAAGATTCAAAGACCAAAATCAGAGAACTTCCCTCCTCCATGACATAATCTAATGTTCAAGTACTAGCAAATTTGTCCTTCTTGGTCCCAGCCTATGTTCAAATTTTCAAAAAAGATTAAAAAAACAAACTGTCCCATTTTTTTTGACCTGCTCTACTGATTTTTCTCTCACAGATGTGTTTTCACTATATTCTACCTGAACCAAAAGCAAGTTTTTGGTTATGTGTCAAATTACCATGGTGTACAGACATGGTAATAATCACATTTGTAGAAAGAAACAGATTTTGAACCAGGATTACAACTTCATTTGGCCAGTTTTTTAGAAAAAAGTTTTCTTTTTAATAATTGTCTATGGAACAAAAGCATTTTGGCAAAAAAACAAAAACAAAAACTAAGAACATTACACAACATTATAGATGCAATCAGATACATGTTCACATGTTTGCATTGAAGAGTAAATATGTGCATTTTGCCATGTTTAATGGTTACAGTATAGTTTTAAGTTGCCATTGGACTAAAGTTTTTAAGTGAGCCAGGAATTGGTGAGCAACCACTGACCTATATTCAAAGAACAGTCCTTAAAACTGTATCATATTTTTCAGAAATATCTGATTTCTAGCTGTTTGAAGTTGTTTTTTCCTCTTTTTCTTTTTTTAACACACAATGAATAAACTGTAACCCATCCAACTGCCTGAGTGGTTGGCATAAATCCCCTCAGATATAACTATATGCTAGATATTCAGATAACATTGGGCCAGATTCAATATCAAATCCTGTTATTACCACCTTCTGCATCACAGAATTACATACACCTTCCCCCGACTTGGAATAAAACTAAAATCTCAAGGCAGAGAGGTTTACTTCTCTGCAGAGGTTGTTGAATAGCAGCTATGTGACATCAGGTCACATCTCTGCCAAGGGAGGAGAGCCTGGAACCCTTCTTGCCCCGATGGATTATGAGAATGACATCGGCGAGGCTCCCAAGTATGTGAAAAGCCTCCTGACCCTCTGGCTGTGGGGATTGGTTTCTGCAGGTGATTGACAGTCAGCTGTGGAGAGCTCAAAGAGGTTGCATGCCCCAATGAGCAGTGACAGCTGAGAGTTCCACAAAGGTTCAGTTGACTTGTTTAACTGGACAGGAGGATATGCCTGCAAACCTAAGATGTCCCCCAGTGAGACAGGAGTGGGGAAGGACACAGGATCAGTCTGAACCAACACAAGATCCTGATGTGGCCCTCCGCTTTTGGGTGTTTGGAGTTTTAGGTAGTTGTTAACAAGGCTTATGAGGACATGTATTTTGCACAGTATGAGTCATCCACTGATGAGTCATTTGAAAAGAATAATTAACTCTTACCTAATAACATTTAAAAGATCCAGCAGTTCCACTGTTACCGCAACAAAACTGAAACATTGTTTACAGACTACTGAGTAAGCATGTTGACAATACAAGTATGAATATTCTCATCTCGATGTATGGATAATTTTGACCACAATGATGGCATAACTCTAAATGCACATTATATATAAAATTATCTCTAAGAAAAATTATTGGCCTCATCTTGAGAGAAGCTGAACACTCCAGTCACTAATTTGATTTATAAAACACAAACTCCAGGTTGCCTGATTTTTTTTAAACACGGTCAGTTAATAGCAGAACCTTGACTCCAGCAGGTAACTCAGTCCCATCCATAACAATAAAGCAACAGTCTCACCTATGCAGGTCTCAACCTGACATTGGTCAAGACCTTGGACCTCACTAATTGAACAAGATAAGACAGAGATACAAAGGGAAATCCTGACCCTTTTTAAGTCAGTAATAATTTTCCACTGACTTCAGTGGGGCCAGAATTTAACTCTTAGGGCTGGATGTCAGCAGCAAACTAAAACTACCTCAATGCCTCAGAACGAAGCCTGGCAAAACTCCCGTTGACTTAAAATGGGTCAGGATTTCATCGCCATCTCCACACTAACCCTCTTAACATCTCCATACACCTCCAATTAGATATGATAAAACAGACCCCAGTCAAAGCGCATATGATAGCATCTTTGATGCACAAACTTTTTTCAGTACCTTTCAGGTTCAGGTCCTATGTTTGAGAAATAAACTATTTGACAAAGTTTACTAAAGTACTGCTAAAACTTTCCCTGGCTAAAAAGTTGATTTTATGAGAAAAAATAATTCTAACTTTTCAGGTTACATATGCTCTGTTGGATACTGAAACAGTCACTCAGGTGTAACTTCAGAGCAGTATGCTATGTCTAATTTATTCATTAGCTATTTACCAAAAATGATTCAATTATGATCTTATATATTCATTCTAATATTAGTGTTTAGACAAGTAAAATTATTTTAATAAAGCAAAAAAAATGAACATACGTAAATAATTTATACTAATGGAATCAATTTCAAAATAAGTGATTTAGTCTGTTTGGCATCTGAAATCAACAGTCTGTAGATTAAAAGCATACGTTATGTGAAGCCAAGCAGGACTTGGTATTTATCACAACATGCAAGCAGTCAGAATTCAATGCAAATATTGAAACAATATATTTTATATATAAAAATATTTCTAAGCCAATTAATAGCATTCAAATTATACAAAAGGTTGATCTGAAAATTTAGCAAAACATACCTGGAGATATAATGAAATACATACCTGTGCACGTGAAGAATTTGGATTCGCCCACACTAAGCTCTACCTTGCTAAGTGAAATCGTCACTTGAAGAAGAGCTGAAAAATACAATGTAAATTCAGCATGAATACATTTTGCATATATCAGTTAAAAGATGCCTATACACAGTATGATATATACTGTGCAAACTGCACAAAAAAGATTGAGTGCCAGATAAACATAGTATCTCCCAAAACAGAGTATTTATAGCAGGGGGAGGGAGAAATCTAAGGCCAGGTCTACACTACCGCGGTAGTTCGACGGCTGGCAATCGAACTTCCGGGTTCGATTTATCGCGTCTGGTCTGGACGCGATAAGTCGAACCAGGAAGTGCTCGCCGTCGACTGCGGTACTCCACCTCAGCGAGAGGAGTACCGCGGAGTCGACGGGGGAGCCTGCCTGCCGCGTGTGGACCGCGTCTGAACCGCGGTAAATTCAGACTAAGGTATGTCGACTTCAGCTACGTTATTCACGTAGCTGAAGTTGCGTACCTTAGATCGAATTGGGGTGTTAGTGTAGACCAGGCCTTAGAGTAAGCTAGAGATCATGTTTTAGATGCAAACTATAACATCTCAGTAAAGTTAACTTGATGCGGAATGTCCTGGAGATCCTAAGTATTCAGTCTCTCTCTCTCTCTCTGTCTCTCTCTCTCTCACACACACACACGATAAAAAACTCTCTCAAATACATAGCCATTCTGTATGAAGAACCTAAACAATACTGATACTTTACACGCTGCTTATTGCAGATGCAGCACCGAAAGCACAAATGAACTAAGAAACCCTTTTTTCCAGAGATGTAATTCAATTAACACAGGGCCTTACTGAATCCTAGAGTAAGTAGGTGCATCTGCATAAGTCAATTTGGCACACAGAATTTGGCTTACATATGCACACACACCAAAATGGAATACTAAAAAAAAAGTCATACTAATTTCAAGTTCTACTAGAAACAGAAACAAGTAAAATACCTGCCAGATGGAAAAGAACCAAAGTTTTAAGGAATGAAATTTTATTTACAAAGTTCTGAGAATGTTATAAAAAAAAGAATTATAGGGTGATTGGGGCTCTAAAAATATTAGATAGTGTCCTTTCAACATTTTTTTTAGTCTTGAAACACATGATTGATTCATCTATCTCACAGGTGTGTAGAAGTGACTGAACTCCTTTAAAAACATGATCAGTACAATTGTGTCCAGTGAATGCTAAAGATGGGCAAATAGACTAAAAATTTCACCTTGCCAGCTCCTTGACCCACCATTATCATGGGAGTCTGAGGATATGTGTACACTAGAACTAAACACCCATGGCTGGCCTGTGCCAACTGACTTGGGCTTGCAGGTCTGGGGCTAAGGGGTTGTTACACTATGGCATAGACATTTGGGCGTGGGCTGAAGTCTGAGCTCTGGGACCCTCCCCACTCGCAGGGTCCTAGATCCCAGGCTCCAACCCGAGCCCAAACACCTACACTACAATTAAACTGTCCTTCAATCTGAGTCCGGCAAGTCTGAGTCAGCTGGCACAGACAAGCTGAAGGTTCTTATTTGCAGTGAGAGGACAGTTGGGGGTGGGCACAATTACTATCAAAATTATTTTATATGACAAAACCTCTTTCTTCCATGAATATGTTACATTTTAGAACACTTTGAAAAACTCCTTGTACAGTACTGACTGTACTGCTGTTAACTACAGGATAAAAAATGAAAGCAGAAGCCCAAAAACAGATTTGAAAGAGTATTTCGTACATAATACAGCTCCATATGGCAATTATTACCATCAATAAAAGACAATCCAAACAATTATGCAATACTTGTTCTATCTCTACATAAACAGCTTGGGAAAGGGAAGACACAGACCACATTTGAATTTATAGACTAATAACCTATGTAATGTAAGAGAAAGTGGTCCTCTTCGTAGAACAGCAATAATGGCCTAAAACACTTACAAATCAAAAGTTCTTCTAAAACCCACCCTAAACTTTTAATGAGTAACATGTTGGCATGATTTAAGTCATTATCTACTTAACTACTTTTAATTTATTCAGTTGTTCTGAACAAGAATGAAATGCTTGAGTGCTGGACTTTGGGTATTCTCTGTGAGGGATCCTCAACTATGGAATCCCTTTGTTGAGGGCATCAGAATGAGCTCAAGTCTGCCCATTTTCACAGACTGATGCCAAACCCATTGTGACAGGATCCCCGGGATGCAACCTGGAACTAGGGCAATGCTGCTCCCCCGTAACTCTCTAGCATGGGCTGTCACTCACAATGCTATGTTAGTGACATGCAGAAAACCCCTCTGGGAACTGTTATCACTCAGTACAACAGCATGTGCAACCCCAAACCCAGATAGATTGCATGAATGCTCCCTGAGCCACTCACAAAACAGAGAAAGGCACCAGCAAATCTGTCAACTCCCCAGCCTTGCACCCCTGGAATATTCCATGCCCTGGTCAGAAGCCAGACCAGTGTATGTTTATTACCCAGTCCATCCCTCCTTCCATGTGGAGAGGATGATCACTAGCCTTTGTAAACTGAGCTGAGATTTCCCAAGCACTTCAAGCAAAACACACTGTTTTAGGTAAAATATAAAACAGATTTCTTAGGTACAGAAAGATAGATTTTAAGTGATTATAAGTCTTAGGCACAAAAGGTCAAAGATAGTGACCAAAGAAAATAAAAGATAAGTGCACAGTCTAAATCTCTAAACCTCATTTGACTTGGCAGTATTTGAAACAAGCAGTTTTCTCACCCCACTGGATGTTGCAGTTCTTAATACACAAGCTTCCCCTTTAAGGCTGGGAGCAGTCTCCTCAGTTCAAGTCTTTGTCTTCTCAACATTCTTGTTGCTTCCAGCATAGAGGGGGGAGGAGAAAGGCCAAAAACATGATGCCACTGTCCCCTATTTTATATCCACAGACCATGTGCCTGGAAAACACTAGCCCAACCATGTCCTGTTTGACTTTGCTGAGTCACAGGGTTGAGCAATCTCCCACTATGTGATGCTTGTGCAGCCCTCTTAAATCCCTTGTTTATAACTCTCCTTCTGATTAATGGTTACTTAACACCTTCCAGGAAGTGGATCACGATGTAACAGTAGAGACTCTCAAACTTACAAAATATTTCAGTAACAACCATAGAGGAAAATCTCATAACTTCATACACACAAATATCTATATCATTAGGACAGAACAATGGGTTTCAGCAGATCATGACCTTTTACATGGTATCTCACATGACATGCTTTGTATGAAATGTATTGTAATTATATGACGGGGTGAATATGGGGGCTCCAGGGTGCTACTTTCAGGTACAGAGTTCCTCTCCCATCTTTTCGCAAAAGCTGTCCCACAATAACAGAAGAAGACTATATTAATAATATTACTAAAATAACAACAACATGTTCAAAGCATAAGTGGTCAAACCCCAAAATAGCAAGCACACAGCCCATTTCAGGCTAAATTATATGCTAGTCTAAATATTGCATCTGACACTCCATAAATGTTTGACCCTCCATAAAAACAGTCAGACAGTGAGAAAGGTTGTACAAACACAAGTTTAAGCTCAGTTTGTTGAAGAGGCCAGGAGACTTATTGATCTGACAAAATAAATCAAGACACTATATGTTTATACATGTGACTACAAACAAGATCCAGTAAATAAGAGATGAACTAGTTATCTTAATGTTAAAATGTTAAATCATTATTTTAGAGTTCCCTTTTAAGTTTCATTGCATAGAGTCATAGAACTGGAAGGGACCTTGAGAGATCATCTAGTCCAGTCTGCTGCACACAAGGCAGGACTAAGTATTATCTAGACCACCCCTGACAGGTGTTTGTCCAACCTGCACTTTAAAATCCCCAATGATGGAGATTCCACAGCTTCCCTAGGCAATTAATTCTAGCGCTTGATCACTCTGACAGTTAGGAAGTTTTTCCTAATGTCCAACCTAAACCGCCCTTGCTGCAATGTAAGCCCATTGCTTCTTGTCCTATCCTTAGAGGTTAAAAACAACAATTTTTCTCCCTCCTCCTTGTAACAACCTTTTATGTACTTGAAAATTGTTATGTCCTCTCTCAGACTTCTCTTCTCCAGACTAAACAAACCCAATTTTTTTTTCAATCTTCCCTCACAGGTCATGTTTTCCAGACCTTTAATCATTTTTGTTGATCCTCTCTGGACTTTCTCCAATTTGTCCACATCTTTTCTAAAATGTGGCACCCAGAATTGGACACAATACTCCAATTGAGGCCTAATAAGTGTGTAGTAGAGCAGAAGAATTAATTCTCATGTCTTGCCTACAATACTCCTGCTAATACATCCCAGAACGATGTTTGCTTTTTTTGCAACAGCATTACACTGTTGAGTCATATTTAGCTTGTGATCCACTATGACTCCCAGATCCCTTTCCGCAGTACTCCCTCCTAGACAGTCATTTCCCATTTTGTATGTGTACGGCTAATTGTTCCTTCCTAAGTGGAGTACTTTGCATTTGTCCAGGGATTGGCAACCTTTGGCATGCGGCCCGCCAGGGTAAGCCCCCTGGCGGGCCTGGCCGGTTTGTTTACCTGCGACATCTGCAGGTTTGGCTGATTGCGGCTCCCACTGACCGCGGTTCACCGCTCCGGGCCAATGGGGGCGGCAGGAAGCGGTGACCAGCACATCCCTCGTCCCATGCCGCTTCCCGCAGCCCCCATTGGCCTGGAGCAGCGAACTGCGGCCAGTGGGAGCCGTGATCAGCCGAACCTGCGGACGCAGCAGGTAAACAAACCGGCCTGGCCCACCAGGGGGCTTACCCTGGCAGGCCGCGTGCCAAAGGTTGCTGATCCCTGCATTTGTCCTTATTGAATTTCATCCTATTTACTTCAGACCATCTCTCCAGTTTATACAGATCATTTTAAATTTTAATCCTATCCTCCAAAGCACTTGCAACTCCTCCCAGCTTGGTATCATCCGCAAACTTTATAAGTGTGCTCTCTTGTGCATTTTCAAAATTAAACTCCATGTCTGCTGCTCCAAAGAAACTAAACCCTTACTTTGCTCATTGCTGGGATGACTATATTGCAATTCAATGTGGAAAATGCCCTGTTGTTGCAGTACATAATTCTTCATTAGATATTCTATTTCCCCTCCGTCTCCAGAATAGAGCAGCTGACCCTTGAGAATAGACTGGGTGGACTCCTTTGAGTAGTCTAGAAGCAGCCAACACCCTACACAGTTAAGGAAAGGTTCTTACTCAGAAGACCAAACATCAGTCAGAGATCACCAAAGAGGTTGTAGTTCAAAGTTGTCATCCTTTTCCTTGGCTAACAGGTTTTATTGGTTGTTGTATTATCAGAGCCAAATAAAATTAAACTATCAAGGACAGGCCACTCAGAATGACTGTCATACCACTTGCTGTCATACATTAAGCAATCAGCTCTCCATGGCATGGACTGTCTTTTATTGTGTGTTTGCACAGTGCCTAGTACAATGGGATCCAGTTCTTGGTTGGCTCTTATGCACTACCAAAATGCATACATTACTCTTGTTTAGAGCTTGAATAACTTCTGTTTAATGTAGGACAGTGGTAAGGGAGGAGGTTTATGCAAAGCCAGAATCCAGCATTTTGGTCTGCAGAATGAAGATAATGTGTTTCCTAATGGTGAGTGCAGCTTCCAGTTGCAAATGGCATTGCATTGTTTTTTCCTTCCCCTTCCCTGCCCCCGGATCCCTTGCCTTTTGTTAACAATAAGATAACCTCTATAATGAACAGTGGCCTCCCTTAAAGGCAGGTTCTGTGACCTTCTGTAGACATATAGTCAAATATTGTCTACTGGATGAGGTCTTAAATATATGAGGCAATGCTAATAATGGACTTGTCTACACCGGGCACTTAGTTTGCACTGAGTTGACATGCACTAGTTGGTGATCTATACTTAGGCCATGCTAATAACGTGCACATGGGATGATTGTTCTCCCTTTCAATTTGTATCATTGTGTACACACATCAGAGGTTTGGGGCACACTAAGGGCATGATATTCTGGGAGAATATCCCATAGTCCTTTGCTTCGCTGCTGAGCAATGTGTATTCCGGCATTTTTCTCACTACATATTATGGGATGCATAGGAGAAGCCATGTGGAAGCCAGTGAAATTCTGGAACTTGGGGTCAAAGTAAAAAAAAAAATCTCATGATTCTGCTGTCTTATCCCTATTTCCTTTTTTTTTTTTCTGGGATTGCTGTCAGCCAGCATGGACCCAGCAATGATCTGCAGCACTATGCCAGTAACTGTGAATACACAGAGACTGTTTGGCCTTTATCTGAGCTCTTGAAGCAGTTTTTGAATTTCGCTAATTGCACCGAGCAGATACTGTGACTGCAGCAGTGGCTTGTCCAGCAGCAGCAGCAGCAACAACAATGGAGAAAGGAGGATGACACTAAGCAACTGCTACTACAGAAGCTGTTCCTGGATCAGTTCCATGCAGTGCAGTGCCATTGCTTGGGCTTGCCCCAGGGCTACAGTGGCGGTGTACGAACATGCCACACGCTCTATGTGTTGAGAAGTGGGTTGTCATTGCCATCTGGAAGTTGGTCACCCTTGAACATTAGCAGCCTATAGTCAACTAAATCAGCCCAGGGAGATTGACTGTTAGGGCCATTACTGTGTGCAGTGTTGTTGTAGCCATATCATAGAATCATAGAATCTCAGGGTTGGAAGGGACCTCAGGAGGTCATCTAGTCCAACCCCATGCTCAAAGCAGGACCAATCAGTCCCAAGATATTAGAGACAAGGTGGGTGAGGTAATGCCTTTTATTGAACCAACTTCTGTTGGTGAGAGAGACAAGCTTTCAAGATAAACAGAGCTCTTCCCCAGCTGCGGTGGGCCTGGTTTCAATACTGGGGTCCTGACACTTAATCCTCAGGTCTGCTGGGGCCATTGTCACGCACGTGCATGATGTCATGCATAAGGTACTTTTGCAGTAGGTTATAAAACTTAATGCTCAGGAGATTATTGATGGCTTTGAATGCCTGGGGTTCACAAACTGCACTGGGACAACTGATGAGACCCAGGTGCCTGCAATTTGCCTCCTCCCGGAATCAGGGTTCAGTGTTTATAAATAGAAAGGGATATTTCTCCATGGTGCTCCTCCATAAATGTAGGGTGGTCTAAAAAGGTACACAGTGCTAGGATCTTTCACAAAACAGCTCAATTTGCCGTAATGAATAAAGAAATTTGCCCCCAGGATCACTATGGACATTCATGATATGGAGATTGCCCTAGTTATCCTGGGAGACCTAGCTTATCCTGTGCTTCCTTGGTTAATGAAGCCATTCACAGGCCATTTGGGCAAGAGGAAGGAACTGTTTTACTATTGCCTCAGTAGATGCAGAATGACGGTGGTGTGTCCAATTTGCTGTCTGAAAGGAAAGTGGCACAGTTTATGGAATAGGCTGAAAGCTGTGCCCAAGATTATATCTGCAGGTTGAATTTTGCAGCGTATAATGAGAGTAAGAGAGAAAGCGTTAACAATGGGTGGGAGGCTGAGGTGCAGAAACTTTTTCAGAGGTTTGAGCTGCCAGCAAAGCATCCACTAGAAAACAGAAACAACCAGGGCAATACTGTCATTAATGCCTATTGCTCACTCTTTCAATCTCAGCCCTGCAACAAAGAAGTTGTACATCCAACTGTTATCCTGGAGGTGATGGGGGGAATGTATTATGGGCAATACTGTCTCTTATTCATGTTGGAAGTGGCACATTGTGGCAATCCTTATTTTATCCTGTGCTTATACCGTTGTCCCTTTGTAAAACCTATGATTTATGCAAAACTTACGTTTTTTTCTGACTATTTAATTTAAAAAACTGTTACAATCATTCATAAACAATTATATAACAACCAGAAATACACATTTAATTCAAACAAGAAGCAAACACAGCTTTGAAGTGACACAGTGCAGTGGAGGGCAGCACACAACAATGGGGGAAGTGAAGCTCAAATTCACAGGCAAGAAAACATCTAAGGCTCTGCTTTGTTTTGTTCTTAGCCCTTCTAGAATTGAGTGTCGGGTCTCAAAGTTATCAGGGGAACAAAATAGCTTGAAAGAGTTGGGATCCCAGTTGCAATTGTTCTCACTGCCCTGAGCTGGGGCCAGGGAGGGGAATGGCCTCTGGAAGCACAACTGTGGAGGTACAGCAGGGAACATATGCTGGTGTTTCCAGTACCTTGTATTGTCCAAGAGCTGAAAAACATGGCTGGGTCCTGGTTGAGGGCACAGGATTGTCTGTGGGTCCACTAGCTGTACGCTCTGCAGAAGAATATTCTTCTTCTGTACTGCCTCCGGAATCGCCTCTGCATGTTCCTGTCTTTCTCTACAGTGTCTTTGCCATGGCAACACTCTCTCTGGAGAACTGCCTATCTTTTCCCCCTCTTCAGCCTCAAATACAACCTCCACTTCTCTCTTGTATTCAATTTGGGGGAGAAGGGAGTCTGCAGTGAGATCTGTGAACATTGCATTCTGAATTCTCCATTCCTTCCCCCTCAGGTTAGCCAGCCATTTCAGCCATTGAGAAAGGCCCTGTCCATGAGGGTCTGGGTGCTGCAGGTACTGTGGCTGGGGGAGTAGGGAAAAAAAAAAACAACAAGCAGTTTTTTGCTCATATTCCAGGGAGGCTATGATAGCATTTTTTTTAACATGCATTTCTGATTTTCCCTCCCTGAGATTATTGCCAGTCTTGGAGGAACCTCAGAGATAGGGTGTGGAGGAGGGAGCTAGAATAGGATTTTGGGATTGGCAATATATACTGTTTGGGTTTGCAATTGTGCCTTGGAAGCTGGGAATTATGTTCCCCGTTTGGCTTTGCTGTTTTGCTGTGCCTTGGAAGTGCTTATGTGGGGCCAAAGGGATTAGCGGGGGGCAGCTGGGGAGCAAGCTGGATAATAATCCCCTCGACATCCCCTTTATGCTGTCCTGACTATCGCTGACATTATATTGAGGCAGGTGACTAGGATGCAAAGAATAACCCTTTTCAAAAAGGCTAAGGCAGTCCAGTGAGATATGCAGGGAAGCTATTCACCAGAATGGTCCCCCCGCCCCATAGAAGAGCTGTAGGAGAGGAAGAGAATTGCAAGGTATACTGGAGGCAGTGACCATTCTGTTATCCCACGGGATGTCCACACCAAATGAAAACAACTTATCTGTCTTAAATTCTGCTTATCTCCCCTGCAGACATGCTGAAGGTGCAGAGAAAAACAGACTGGATTCTCCACTGATTGATTGAAGCCAGTTCCCAGTCTCTCTCTATGTAGGTCTGTGAAAACCCATTAAGAGCTATAGAGCTACGATATCCTTAAGGTAAACTTATTTTCCCATATGAATGCTTGTTACTGGGCATATATACTTCAGCAGAGAGCAGCAGCCTTAGTACCTTTACGGGCATGCAATGCCCTTGTCTATGTCATGTAAATTGATTATACTAACCGAACTCCTTTTCCTGGAACAATTAAATCAATAAACTGTGTGAATTTCACACAAGTGAATGTTTTCACTAGTTGAATATGCTGTGGGAGGGGAGGGGGGGGTACAGATTGCAGTTGCACCAGGCTGCCATCTGCCATTTTGAGTAAGTGAATGGGTTTGAGGGGGACATTTGCTGGGCTGGGGAGAGGAAAAGGAAAATAGATAGATGTGTGTGTGCCCTCCATGGCATTGACTTGTAAATAGTTGACAGTCAGAGCTTTAGAACGAGAGAGAAGCAGATTGCCAGGCGGGAGCAGCCACTGTTTTGAAAACGTGTACAGGGAGGAGCGAACAGAGAGTGTGGCTGAGGGAGGGAGGGAAGGAGGCAGATGGGGGTGGAGACTTCGAAAGGCTCCTAGTTAAACAAAATAACTGCAGGTGTGCAGCAGCCAGAACGGAAGTTAGTACAGCTGTATAGTACAAGAAAAAATTGTGAGGATAGACACTTACATGCTGAGGTTTCAACGATACATATTTATTCCAGTGACTGGCCTCAAGAGCTTGCTGCACTGACACTTCATCCCAGATGGAGAGATCTAGAGTCTCAGCAGGACTCCAAGTGGGTACTCGAGACATGGTGTAAAGGCTTCTGGAGTAATGGTATAGCAAT